GTTGGTATGATGTTTACGTGATTTAGGCACCTTTTGTGTTGGTATGATGTATATATATATGATTTTAGACACCTTCTGTGTTGGTATGATGTTTTTATATGATTTAGTCACCTTCTGTGTTGGTATGATGTTTATATATGATTTTAGGCACCTTCTGTGTTGGTATGATGTTTTTATATGATTTAGGCACCTTCTGTGTTGGTATGATGTTTATATATGATTTTAGGCACCTTTTGTGTTGGTATGATGTATATATATATGATTTTAGACACCTTCTGTGTTGGTATGATATTTACTTATGATTTAGGCACCTTCTGTATTGGTTTGATGCTTTTCTCTGATTAAGGCACCTTCTGTGTTGGTATGATGATTACATGATTTAGGCACCTTCTATATTGGTATGATGCTTTTCTCTGATTTAGGCAGTTTTGTTGGTATGATCTTTACCTATATGGATTGGACATCTTCTGTTGATGTAATGTTTACTTACGATTTAGATACCTTCTGTATTGGTATATTTACTTACGATTTAGATACCTTCTGTTTTGGTATATTTACTTAAGATTTAGATATCTTCTGTATTGATATATTTACTTACGATTTAGATACCTTCTGTATTGGCATATTTACTTAAGATTTAGATACCTTCTGTTTTGGCATATTTACTTATGATTTAGATACCTTCTGTTTTGGCATATTTACGTATGATTTAGATACCTTCTGTATTGGCATATTTACTTAAGATTTAGATATCTTCTGTATTGATATATTTACTTAAGATTTAGATACCTTCTGTTTTGGCATATTTACGTATGATTTAGATACCTTCTGTTTTGGCATATTTACTTATGATTTAGATACCTTCTGTATCGGATGTAAGATGTCTGACGTAGGGACGGCGGGAACCCTATGTCTTATCTGCGTGGCCAAGAGGCGGGAAAAGGAGAGACAAAAGAATATACATAGATATGATTACAAGGACCATTATGTAAGTTTAATTCGTTATAAATAATTTTCAGTGTAAACTTTCCAAAGGACGACAAATCTCAAAATTTGTCAAATTCAATGAAACCATTTACTTAACTAATTATAATTTTCGTTTTTCATTCTCCCTCTGTAGATTAATTCTTGAATTCGTTGAGGTCACTAGCGTAAAGATTTTTTTTCTGTAAAAGGGTACACCCAATTTTTATATGCTGGTAAAGACCATTCTACAAAATATCTAAATGAAGTAAAAGAATTTAACACTTTGTACGCAACAATCAACGAGTTACCCAATTACAAAATTTTGTTTACCTTCGAATGTTGACCCCCACGAATTAAAATGATTCTACAGTAAAAATTTATACTTTTGATTGCAATTTTATTTATGATTTTATCTTACAAAGTAATTAAGATAATATTTAAAAAAAAAAAATTATAATTCAGTTTGGTTCAGGGGATCTCATCAAGGCCTACTCAGCACCCCCAAAGGACGATTCATGGAAGAAAGGTTAGCCATCTTTGTTTAAATCAAATAGTATGCTGAGAATGTTTAATTAAAACGTGTCTTTTTATTGTCAAACTGTTCACAGATTGGCGATGCAGGGTGTGCCTCCAGAGGGTACGACCAGAGAAAAAACCAACTTGTTACGGCTGTGAAATCAAACAGATGCTTTTAGCCAGGAGAAAGGTTGAAATTTAACTTATCAGATATAACTTTGAATAAATTTCTAACAAAAACGAATAACCACCCCACCCCTTGATGTTTTTGTTATAATATGTTCTACGCATATTTTTTACAATTATATTTCATACTTTTCTAAGAATATAGTAGACGTGGAGAAAGACTTAGATAAGTACAAACAAGAAGCTATTGGAGTCAAAGATGAATTTTTGTCGTCAGAGCCGAAGGATGGCGTCACCAAATGGGTAAGATTGCTTTCCTGATAAAGCTGTGATATTATTTCGGGGATCGGGTGGAAGTGGAAGGCTGGTTATTCTATTCTCTTTCAAGTTTACCTTTGCCAAAGACTAAAGTGATCTATCCAGTGTCAATGTGTTCTATAATTGTCTTTCATAAACTTGTCGGTTTCAACAGGGTCAGTTTCATCCCAATTGTTACGAAGCATCCTTAGTTAAAGGGGATTATACATATAGTCTTAGCTTTCAAATAAAGGGTGAAACATTTTTCGAGGAAGTAAGCTAGGAAATACTATTAGCTGAAATAGGGTCGGGTCAATTGAAAATCTCCTTAAAAATTTGAAAGCTTTCTTAATGAGTGAAGATCCAGTTGTTTTTTCCCAAATCAAAGCCCCCACCACCAAAGAAAGTACGAAACTGTATTTTCCCAATGTAGTATAGATGCAGTCTTGCATAAATTGTATATAGAGGCACAATTGTTGGGTTAAAAGTTTTACATGGGAATAACTATGAAAAAAATTCTTGAAGAATGTTCTTCACAAGACTGCAGATATATTTAGTATTTCGGTGTAGTATAGGTGTATAAAGTTTGTTCAAATAGTATGGACTTAGGCGAGATCATGATAGGGAATCTCATCATTTTAAAAAAATCTTTTAAAAAAGGGCAGGGTCACAGTAAGATGAAATCAGTACTTGCCTGTAGGAAGCATTTTCAGTCTTAGTTTTGTTTTTTGTTTTGTTTTGATTTTTTTTTGGGGGGGGGGGGGGGCTAATAGAAATTCTACACAAGCAAAAAGTTAAAAAGGGGGCACAACTACAAATTGGCTTTGTTTTCTAATGTATAGTATATACTGGCCACGTTATATTGAAAACGTGCAGGGGCTGGAAATTAACATCGTTTTCTATAGTGAGGTATATATTGTTAAAATAATTCGGGGGGGGGGGGGGGGGCACGGTCTACGGGCCTGTCAGTAGGGAAACATCCAATGTAGTCAAGATTAAAATTTTACATATTCTTATTTTCTTGTAGTGTAGATTCAACATTGTTCAAATCATTTCAAAATCTAAATATTTTCATGTGTGGATTCACATTCAAAACATTGTCTTGAACAAATATGCAAACCTCTGCCATAAGGCCACAATCTTGAAATCGAGCTTCAATATACTGTAAATTGAAATCAGTGACTTGATGGGTTTTTTTTAATATATACATTTGTCAGGCGAAAAAGGTGACTCGTATAATCTTTTTGGTCCATGAGCCTTTTGCTTACATTGGTTATCAATATTAATATTTCATATACAATTCAAAGGAAATGTCGTATGAAGTAAGAAAAAAGTCTTTGGAGGAAATAAAGAATTCAGTGGGTCGTCTAAATACCTCCAAAAAACAAGACGTAGACAAACAGAAAGAAGTAATGCAATATATTGATGGACTTATTACGGCATGCAAGATCCATGTAAGTTTCCCAAATCTGTTGCAGTTTTTATTTATTTTTCTATGTATTATTCATTACAACCTCAATATATACATTCTAAAAAGTCGTATTCAGAATTCTCTGTGCACTAATGGATGAACATGTATTACAGTTTGAGAGCAGAAAAGAAAAATCCCAGGAAGATCCACCAGCTACACAGACTGAGGATGGACAAAATCATACTGAACATTGAACTCTTCACAATGGAGTCTAGTTGTGATTGTCTCTTTTTTCTATGTTCATACTGTAGGCCTGTATTTAATCTATATAATGATGTTTGTACAAAAATGTTATATGAGTTTTATATTTTACATGGACATTTTCCTTAAGTGCACTTTTTGAAAATGTGCATCAAATAAAACAATTGGATTTGAATTTACTTATTTGTTCTAGATATACAGAAATTAAAAAAAATGAAAATTCTATATATCCTTGTTCTGTTGATTTCAAGAATGCACGAACAAACAAACAAAAAGATGTAGTTTATATTTTCTTTTAGGACTCCTTAGCCTTTTTCCCTGCATGCTTAATAAGGTCAGTAAATCATTAATGGTTCTCTAAAATACAAACGTTATTATAGTAGGACATTTTCTTCTCTGTCTGTAGATCATGGAACTCAAATGTATGATTACAAATTACAGTCGAAGTTTTAGTTTTATTCCCCATGTCCACACTAGACAGGGCTGCATTCATGTCATAACGACTGTAATAATGAGTGGGTTAGTTGAATTCTGCAGAAATTATCCAATAACGTATCCATTCCCGGGGAGGGAGGGGGTGTTCCATACCAACTAAAAAAATCTGTCGCAGAATATTTTTGACAGCCTAAACGGGATCTAACCAATGATTGGAAGAAGAGACGTGAGGAAACTTCTCACGGACTTTTCGTGGCGGGGGTCACCTTTTCTTGGGGGGGGGGGTACTACTTTACTATAGAAACTTGGCAAGTGAGATACTGGTCTAAATTTTTGACAAGAGAAAAAAGAAAGAAAGAAAGGAAAACTAACCAAACATGTAAATTCTATTCCGTTAATGGGGGGGGGGGGGTGTCAGATCAGAAAGTTCTCAAGACAATAAGCTGCTTTATTTCATTTACATGTATAATCTTGCTAACTTTACAATGGAGTCTTGTGTCCCGTGTGTGTGTGTGTGTGCGTGGGGGGGGGGGGATGTCAAAATCACAATCTGTATTCTACTTTATAAAGGGTATAGTCTCCTTTCCCTGTATTTCGCGTACTGCCATGTTGAAATGGAATCCTATTCCTATGAAAAGATTACTGTTTATGATATACATATTATGTGTTTACAATAATATTATATCTTTGACTAATTTGGCTCAAATTTAGGAAACCAACTTATGAAATGAAATCGCGGAACTGCAAATATAAAATTTATGCTTTAAGCACACAAATTCATGGAAAAAACTTAAACGATGCATAGGAGATCCTGTTTACTTCACAACCAGTCTTTATGCATATATCATTTCATTATTTCAATTATGAATGTATTTTTAATATTTTACAGAATTATTTATCCCCTTCACTAGATACGCGGCACCTTTAGACCTAGTCTAGTGGTGTTAAACTCCTCTCATATAAGTGATAGTGAATAACAAAACAGTGGTTAAATAAAAAAATTTATTACAAAAGCAAATTAAAAAAATATTAAAAATATACCCTGCATGCATAGCAACACCTCCAAATTTACACAGAAATAATAAATGCAATTACAACCGATAAAAAAAGGATTGATAAAATATAAAACTAACATTAAATAAATAAGCATATTCACCAATATACCCAATGTTTAAAATGAATTACTAGTACTCTATTCTGAAAGAAATCTATCCATTCACTAAGATCTCCAGTTTTATTCACCATTTAGCAGAAGAAAAAAACTGACATAAAAATACAGAAAAAATACCACATTATACAGTAATTATTAATATTCCTCCAAAAAATGCTACATGTATGTCACAACCTTCAAGTTAATCCAACCATACGGTATATCTCAACTAAATTCAGGATTTTACTTGGAATTCTTTAAAAATAGTGACCAACAAATTTTTTAAAAAGTAATAAAATATTTTACACTGCTTCCATCTTCGTAAATTGATGTAAAATTAGTTAATTTTGTTGTACATTTTTTTTTTTGCACTGAGCTCAGGATCTGGAGAGAGAGGGGAGTCTTACAACACAGTTGTGGTGGTGAATTTTAACAGAAAAAATGAAAAATATCTTATAATCTGTAAATATATCTATGACTATATCAGCAAAACTTAACAGAACTTTTCTATATCTGGGCATTAAAAAGTAGGCGTCTAAGACAGCTAAATTTGTGTTAAATTGTTATATGCACCATACACAAACATCACTAAAGACAATCAGATCTAGTACAACTCAGGAACAACAGAAACTTACATATACTGTTAGAAATAAATGGACGAAAGGTAAACTAAAATTATATATAAACTGTACTTAAAAAAATGAGTATTTTAAGATTCAAAGTACAAAAGAAGTACACATGAAAATATAAGATCTTTGGGATTATCAGAAACTGGCCAATTCTAACAGAAATGAAATACATGTACATCTTAAAATTCTTTTTAAAGTAACGTCTTGCATTAACTGTTTAACAATTAATTACACTGTACTATTACTTCATATTTTTGACAAGATGTGTACATACAATCATGTACTTCATAATCAGAAACAAATGACCACAATAAAAGATTTGTGTAGGATATACATGGATGGACAATGACGCAGCTCTGCAGTCAGTTTTTACCATGCTTGAGTATGCATTTGTCCTTGTCAACTGATCACAATAAAAGAATTAAAACACATCGTCTATTTCACTTGCTTCATAACTGCAACAAAAGAGCCATAGGTCACAATGCTCACCTGAGTAATTTAGCCTAGCTATTCCTCCTTAGATTTTAGAAAGATTGTTATTTTTTCTATAAAAAATTCTGACCCCATTTTCTTGTCTAAAAGGACTGACTCCACAAATGGGGATGCTTCATCATAGTCCCATGTAAAACTTTGTTCCCCTATTGTGGCCAAACCCTAATCCCCAGGAGCCATGATTTGAATAATTTAGGCTCTACATAATAATAGGAAGATTTTACATGAGGTTCATCTTTTCTCATCAAGTGGTTCTTGAGAAGATTTTTAAAGATTTTTTCCCCAATGTATTTTAATGTAAAACACTGATCCCCTATTGTGGCCCAATCTAGCCTCAGGGGTCACGATTTGAACAATTTTTAACTTAAACTACCTCACAAAGCTTTCAAGCAAGTTTCATATTTTCTAATCCAGTGGTTCTTGAGAGGAAGATTTTTAAAAGATTTTTTCCTATATATTTTAATGTAAACATTTGATCACTTATTGTGGCCCCACCCTACCCCAGGGTGGCTTAATTTGAAAAATTTAGAATCCACATGACCTCAGGAAGCTTTCACATAAGTTTCATCTTTTCTGGTCCAATTGGTCTTGAGAACAAGATTTTAAAAGATTTTTTTCCTATATATATTTCAAAGTAAAACTTTGATCCCCTCTTGTGGCCCCACCTTACCCCAGGGGCATGATTTGAACAATTTAAAATCTACACTACCCCGGAAAGCTTTCACATAAATTTCACCTTTCCTGGTTGTGTGTTCTTAAAAAGAGGATTTTTGAATGACCAACCCTGTTTTTACTTTCTCTTGATTATCTCCCCTTGGAAGGGAACTTGGTCCTTCATTTGCATAATGAAGAATCGATCCCCTTAAAGGATGCTTTGTGCCAAATTTGGCCAAAATTGGCCCAGTGGTTCTTGAGAAGAAGTAAAAAATGTGAAAAGTTTACAGACGGACAAATTCCAGACAACGGGTGAAGAGAAAACCTCACAAATTTTCAGCTAAAGTGAGATAAGAACTGTGGCCATGCAAACAAATTCTATCTAGTCTGCAGTTGTTATAAACAAATGGTATTCATTAATAGAACAATACAGGTACTGGTATTAATTATTGGTTTTCAAAATACATAGTGTATGCAAAAACTAATTTTTCTTGAAAAGGAAAAACTTTCTGGTCAGAGACTACAAAATTAATTCCATCACAATAGATTCTTCAATATTTTGTAATTATCTAATTTCATTGAACTTTGAAATAAAAAAGTACAGCTCAAAAAGACAAACCTTTACTCTAAACACTAGCTTTTGAGGGGGGGGGGGGGGGGGGGGGGGGGGATGATACAGCATGATAATTCTGATTACCTCAAATTAAGCCATCTTGTGCAGAACACATGGAGAATCTTTGGGGTTAGGGGACAGACTTAAGTCTGCTATAAAAGGGAAAGATATTTTTCCAATTTCTGAGAAGGTTAAGAAGTTTACCTTTTCTTGATCAGTAATAGATATCATTTAGACAAAGTGACTAAATGTATTTAGTACACACAACTATTATTATAATATGATTAGAGGTTAAAAAAATCTACTATTTACAGCAAAAATCATGCAGTACTAATAAACATGGTTAGACCAAACCAATACATGGATACAATTAAACAATACCTTAGGTAGTACAACTTTATAAAAGTCTAATCACTTGTATCAAATCATGGTTTTAGCAAAAAAACATAGTCCCTCTTATGAATTGTGCTGACTTTACCGGTATATCATATGTGGGTATAATAGTTGTAATATATTAGATATTTACTTAAAACCTGTTCAAAGCAAATACATAATGTACTGTAAAGGTGGTTATATCAAAAAGGTTAAAAGTTTGACAATATCTGTACATCAGAAAAATGGCAATGGTCTGCTAGTATTTAACAATGTTCTTTGAAAAAGTCAGGAAATTTGCTAAGTTGAAACTAAAAAAAAATATAACCTATTGTTTAAATTTGTCAACTTTTTCTGAAGTTGATCTTATGATTTTAAAACAGCTTGGACAATTATAACTTAAAATCTAATTTTGTCAACTTTTTTAAAGTTGACCTCATGATTTCAAAACAGCTTTGAATCCATTCCATATTTGAAAAAATACTCAACAACTGCATTTCAACAACACTAATTCAAATAATATATCATTCAATTGCAAAATCCTATATACAAGCACAAGGTCCTTGTGAAATGTTTATAAAAATATAAAATCCCTTTCTTTTAAATCATACAAATGTTTCTCTTTGACTTAATTTATCTTGCTCATAAGCAAAAAAAAATATACTTTCTATTTAATTTGAAATGAGTTAAGGCAAGGTTTCCCAATGAGCATTCATATTCAATATTAGGGGTAAAATTTGAAAATCTATATTTTCACTTACTGCAAAATCATTTTGGGGGGGGGGGGGGTTGTCAAATTCTTGTGATTTGGGAAAAATTATTAGTTCATAGAGTTTTAATTTTGTGGCTGAAGAAGCGTTCCCTTGATTTAAAATTTTAACATGTCCTGCACGACATGAATTTTTTCATTTCTTCATGAAAAAAAATGACATTTCAATTTTTTATTCCCATGAAAATTAGCGACTTCACAATAATTTTCCTTAAGTCATCATGGATGTTTGAATTTTGTCTAAACTGTGTAAATAATACCCCTTTGAAATATAAATTATTTTCTATGTCTTGAATTTCTGGCTTTGTAGAGATTGCAAATGTAGTGAAAAATTTACTCCTTGACCTTAATATATTTTTCCCCATACAGTACACAGCTTCCTCACCACTTCATTAAGCATAGGAAAGGTGCAAAACTAAAATGTTCTTTCATTTGACTTAACATTAGACATTACACAGCTAAAAGGTTCCTGCTTTGGGTGATCTTGATGACTAATTTTCCTGGTTTCTTCTCTCCATTTTTACCCCTCCCCACAAGTTCAAGAGACTGGATGTTGTCATTGAAATCAGCAGTACTTGTGAACACATGCTTTCCTAGGTACGAGTCTCTGATGACATTGCTATTCCAAATCTGTAAGAAGAAAACAACGTAGAGGGATGACAAAAACAAGCTATCTTCCTATTCACAATTCTTCATGAAGAATTCCACATAGGAATTATTTAAAAATTGATCCCAAATTTTAGCAATGGGTGAGCATAGTATCGGGGCTTCAAAAAGATACAGGATTTTAATTAAATATTCTATCAAATTTTTCTCCATCAAATATTGTAGCTGGTACAACCATAATTTCAGTCAGGTAAAAGTACCAGATACCAACACATTTTGAAAGGCCCGAAGTATCCTAACCATTTCAAAAGTGCAAAGAAAAATGCTGGCATATAGTGTACAGTACCTGAATCTTAATGGGTTTCCTCATATTTCTCCTGTAGAAAATAGCTGACTCATTCCACTCAGGATTTATTGTGTCATCTACAGTCCGAGTCCGAACTTTTTCTCTCTCGCATGATATAATGCAGTATGGATCAGCTCCTTGATAATAAAAATCAAAAATATATCCCCAAATAATTCATTTGATACACCCATTTCTCTTTCAACTTTCATATTATGTGTAAAAAGTCATTCATACACCTATTGACCCACATATTTCTGAAAAATACCTGAAGCCACATCCTGTCTCTCCAGCCCCTCTGCCTTTAGTATCTGGATCTGGGTCACAAGTCTCGCTCCACCTCCAAAACAGCAGCAACAGCAGTAATTCAGACATCCCTTTCCAGGCTTATCTAAAGTCAACTCCCTAAAGATTGGATAAAGCATATAAGAGATGTTTGCGAAACACCCCCCCCCCCCCCCCCCCCAATAATTGGAATTTTAGTCCAAGGGGCATAACTCTGTCAAAAATTGCTCGATTGTAGCCAAAACAGAACTTGACCTAGATATTTTTATGATAAATCTGTATACCAAATTTCATTTATGTGCAACCTCTGCGAAGAAAATGAACGGAACCTGTTGGTGGACCTACATGTACAGACAGACCAACCGACAGACAGCAGCAAAGCAATATGCCCTCCTTTCTTCGAAGGGGGACATAAAAATCACCTCAAAAGGGTTCAACTAAAAAGTTGCTTGTAAACACTTCATAATTCATACAAGAGAAGCAAAGTTGTAACCTTTGTTTCATTAGAATCCATGAATATAAAATGCCTAAAATTTGATATATAGAGTTAAACAGGATATTTTTTTCATATTATGATATTATGACCAATTTTTAATGTACTGCTTTATACATGTATTTTGTTACATTCCTAATGAACCCATTTTTTCGGATCAAAATGTCAAAGATCATCAAAGATAACATTTTTTCTGCTTTTCTGCTATAACCAAAGGTTTTGGTTGAATATCTTTTATGTTGACTCAATGAATCAATGAATCTGAAACTCGATCAGAATTAAGAGAAGTCATGTTCTGGAGTGTAAAAAGCACCCAAATGTGCAATAGACACAGAATTTGCTTACATGTTGGTAATCAACCTAGACAAACACAATGTGTCTTGTAGTGCAAACCTTATGACAAAACCTAACAGATTCCGGTTTATTCTAGAAAATAAACTACTTTTCTTTACATCAACAATTATTTTTATCTGTAGATTTAATTGCTTACAATTTTTTTTTGTCTCGGACAACAATTTTGTGCATAAACTGACTTTGATTGCTTTATCTTTTGTTTGGAACTCATCTTGGGGTAGATTTTCATTAACTTTCATCAAGATACAATTTGAAATACAGTATGAGAGAGTTTTTTTACTCCTTCCAAAAGAAAATGAAAATGTGAAAAGTTTACAGATGGATAGATGAACAGACCACAAAATGTGATCAGAAAAGTTCCCGAGTTTTCGCCTCAGGTGAGCTGAACATACAATGATTGTCTATTAGGTTATTTTCTCCCCATCATTCTATGCTACTTAGAATAAAAAAAATTTGTTATACCAAGCTTTTTAAAAATGGCTTACTTACTGGAAATTATTGGCTGAACTAGAGTACATCCTAAAGAGGAACTCCCCCTCAATATTTGGGTCAAATGTGCAGATGATAGCCACATAGCGCCCTGCTTTGAGGGCTGGCTGTAGAAATATTGACCTGCTGTTTTTGAAGGCACTGGATTCCATAAAAGTCTGCTTGGTGTGATTATGAATCCTGCATCTTCTATTTTTCTCAACCTAGAATATTTAATAATGAGTTGTGAAAGTTGATTGCTACATGCACCATACAACACACAACCTGTTTTCCATAGAGAAAATTTTTCTCTTGTTTATAGCAATGGTAATTGTATAAGAACAGTACTGTAATTCTCTTAAACAGCAAGCCTCATTTGATGTACCAAAAAAGTCTTTTTTCAACAATGCCCCACCTAACAACAAAATATCAAACACAATTTTACTATGCATGACCACACAATCAAATGAGGTCACTGTAATCTACTTTTACCATCAAAACACACTAACCCCAAATTACAAATATTAACTCATGTTTGATGATTCCAGACTTAAAAACTGTGCATGATACAAACACATAAACGCTAATAGAATGATGGACAAACACAAGGCTTGCTGTTCTTATAAGAAGAGTTTAAAAGATTTTCTTTATATATTCCTTTGTGAATCTTTAACCACAACTGTGGCTTTATCCTTGCCACAGGGAAATCATAATCATAATCTTCATTACATGCTTTTATAACAATTTGATTTATCCTGAACTCATCTTTTTCTTTCTATATTTTCTATGTAACACTTGGACATGTGTATTGAAGTCCAATTATATTTGGGGACCATATTCATGATTTAAATAGATCCGATTCTTCACTTCATGGATTGTTTGAATATCAATATTATTAATGCAAGACTAATTTTGGTCTGCCTATTTCTGAGATATTTAAAGATATACTCTTATATCATCCTATGGAAAATTTTGACCCCTAAGTGTGATCCAACCTGGTCTTAAAAGCACTGATTTGAATTTGAATCAAAATTCAATAGGAACTAGTATTAATTGTAACGGGGACCGTTACAGATGTTCCCCAAACGCTCCCCAACTTCCTTTTGGTGTCTTATTCCCTGTAAGCCTCATTAAATAAGGCAATCAAGTATATTGGGTTTTTTTTACGCATTACACACGCGCGCACAGGCATGCATGTACAAAATGACCATGTCAACTTGTCTACACTTTTAATACATCTTTATATTCAAATTTCATTAAAAGAAAAAAAAATTCGGCTATATTAAGTATATCTGTCATTTTACGCATTGCATGAGCGCGCACGTGCATGCATGTCCACGATGACCGTGTCATCTCGTCAACACTATAAATATATCTACATATTTCGGGTATCAATTCATTTCATCAAAAAGTATAAAAGTTACAGCTATATCAAGTATATTGGTCATTTTAGCATTGCATGCGCGCGCACGTGCATGCCTATGCATGTTGACAATGTCGACTTGTCTACATTTATAATATGTCTATATATTCTGAGTATCAAAGCATAACATCAAAAAATGTAAAAGTTATGGCTATATCAAGTATATTGGTGATTTTACTCATTGCACGCGCACGCACGTGCATGCAAATGCATGCATGTGCGCGCTGATCATGTCATCTCGTCTACACTTCTAATTTATACTTATATTCTGAGTTTCAAAGCAATTCATCTAAAAATATACAAGTTAAGTCTATATCATTCGTATAGGTTATTTCAATCATTGCGCATGTGCACACGTGCATGAATGTGCATTTTGACCATGTCGTCTTGTCTACACTATTAATATATCCTGATATCCTGAGTATCAAAGCATTTCATCAAAAGAGTTGAAAGTTATGGCTATATCAAGTATATTTGTCATTTTACTCATTGCACGCGCACGCGCGTGCACACACGTGCATGCATGTGTGCGCTGATCAAGTCTTCTTGTCTACACTTCTAATATATATTTATATTCTGAGTGTCAAAGCAATTCATCAAAAAATATACAAGTTAAGTCTATATCAATTGTATTGGTTATTTTAATCAATGCGCATGCGCGCACGTGCATGCATGTGCATTCTGACCATGTCATCTTGTCTACACTATTAATATATTCTTATATTCTGAGTATCAAAGTATTTCATCAAAAGATATAAAAGTTATGGCAATATCAAGTATATTAGTCATTTTACTCATTGCACGCGCACGCACGTGCATGCACGTGCGTGCAAAATGACCTTCGTTCCGCAAATCTACATTACATTCCTATTAACCCTAAAAAGGTTTCAACTCAATCGGATGTATAGTTTCGGAGATCACTCACGGACAAAAAAGTACCCAGGAAGAAAAATAATAATAATAATAACTAGACTCTTGTTGCCATGGCAACAAAAAGGTCTTCCGTTCCTATATGATACCGTTTGCATTGTTTTTTTATGTAGAAAAACGTGTACAGTATGTAATAATTAAGTTGTAAAGAATCTAAAATTTGTCCTTTCGGTACTTGCAGTTCATTGATTTTTACTGCAAAAATGAATGTATTTGTTGTCCTTTTATATGAAATTGTATGCATGTTTTTATTCATTAGTAGAAGCGTATTTAAACTATTTTTAAATTTAAAAGTTAAATTGGGGGGGGGGGAGATCTAGAAAACAACCTGTCAGTTCTTACAGTACTTTGATTTTCACTACTAAAATGAAACTATCCACCATCCTTATATATACACATAATAAATTATAAAACATGGAGTGTGGAATTGAATTTTGCATTTAGAGAAGCATCTATATGTAAGTCAAAGTAAAAAAAACAATACTTAATATCTTTTCAGTCCTTACGGTACTTTGATTTTTATTGGCTAATGAAAATAGCTTCCATAGGTAACTTATTGTATGCATTGATTTTTATGTATAGAAAAACATGCCTGTTTATACTACACTGTAGTTAGAAAAAATTGGGTATCTAAAACAGTCCTCTCAGTACTTCAGGTACTTTGATATTTACTGCAATTAAATGTAGTCTTCATTCTTATATATGATACTGTATGTATTGATTTTTGTAAGCAGAGAAACATGTAAACATAACCTTCATGTAAGTTAAAGTAAGAAATGCCCTTTCAGTACTTTCAGTACTTTGATTTTTTAAACCAAAACGAAAGAAGCTGAAATCTACAAAACGTGTTATCTGATTTCAAAACAAATCATATATTTGGCACTTATGGACCTATCTCTATTATGCCTAAAGATATCTTCAAAATATATTTAAAAACAAAAAAGTCGAAAAATGACTGAAACACAAATTCACTTCCGGTTCAGACAGGAAGTTCCAGACACAAACGAAAATCACGTAGAAACAAAGAGAATGTCATGATCTATTATTCCTGTAAGTTTCACATCTTTACCTCAAACTGCTTTTGAGAAAAACACCGGACAAAAGTACATTTTAAAATTTGAAATTCGGTCATAACTTCGGACCGGAAGTGAATTTTTCAAAAAACGGAATTTTATATAAACTTCACATATTAACCTATTATCCTGTAAAAAATTGTGAAAATCTATCGAAACATCTCTGAGTAATCGCGCTCACAAAATTTGGGAGGAATAATAATAATAATAACTAGACTCTTGTTGCCATGGCAACAAAAAAGTCTTCCGTTCTACTAAATTTGTAAGAATTTGCTTTTTTCTGTGTAAAAAACATACATATCATATTTACTGTGAAAGAAATAAATAACTGGAGGAAAGTCCTTTCAGTACTTAAGGTACTTTGATTTTCATGATCAATCTTGTATAATGCATTTGGCACCTATGAGATATTTACGTATATCATAGAGCAAGGATAATTAGCATTTAAAAAAAATGTTTGCAATCAATTCTAAGACAAACAAACAGACGAACGAACACCGTACTATCATAAACTTTACTGTGTATATGTTCTGGCATAATTGTGATGGTGTTATAAAAAAATATAATGAATTAAGTTAGTATCAAATTAAACGTAAAGTCACTGAGTTTTGAATATAATATAATATTAAGATTTGACAGCATACCTATAAGAAAGATTATTCAATTACAGTAATTATTCAGCAATCGATTGATTGATTGATTGACTATTCATCTTCTTCTCTTAGAATCATTTGGCCCATTTATCACACTGGTCAAATCCTCACATTATATGACAAGAAAAGAAAAACATTTAGCGTATTAGATAATCAAACGCTCTCGTGTTATGATCAATCCATTCTATTCATGTGAATGATATGTAGAATTCAAACGTATGCTGGAGATGCCCGTTTTCATACTTGTATTAAATGTTTAGTCAGTAACACGTCTTTCCGATGATGGCAAATTCACAGCTAATTAATTACCTATTTAAAATTCTAATATAAGCCTCGTATTGCACCACCGAAACACTAAATCTGTGTCAGAGTCAAGTGATTTTAGTGCGTTACTGTTGGGACCCACTTTCTTTGAAACAGGTCAAAGTGTTAACAATGAGTAGGTTGTTTGCTTAGTTCATTAAAATTTCTAATTAAATTTTTCTTGGTCATCCTTCCAAAGTTTAAATAAAAGTGATGCACCAACTACGGGTGTATATATGATAAATTCTCAAATTTGCTTTTTTTGTTTGTTTGTTTGTTCTTTAACGTCCCTCTCGAGAATTTATCACTCACATGGAGACGCCAGCACTCGCCGGTGGAGACTGCAAATTTTTGTCCTATACTTTGGCACTTATCGCCATTGATCAGTGAGGAATCTTTTTTGTGCCAACACCTTCTGCGACACGGGACCTCGATTTAAAGGATCCAAAGGACCGGTCTCCACGTCCCACAATCGAAGTTTATAATACCGAGATATTTTATTTATTTTATTTTATTTTTTCACAAGTTTGTTGCATTGGATTTACTTAAAGATCATACTTCAAGATCATTTCGAACTCAGGCTATTTTATTGCAGTGCAGACAGCGCGGGTGATCTTGATTGACAGGTCAACACACGTGCACTTCGTGTGATACTTTTTAAGCAGAAAAATATACAGAATGTGACCATGACTGACTATGAAATCAGAAAACATTTAATAAAGAATGGGTGTGACTGATATAGAACTAATTTTTGGTCTATGTAAATAGATAGGAGGATCGGGATTAAGAGGGAATCTATCTCTCCCTCTCTCTCTCTCAGACGTAAATTGAACATTTCATAA